TGCTGGAGCGGAGGCGCCTTGGGCAGCAGCTGATTGACCACCTCCCGGCTGATGTTGGGCGCGTGCTTCAGCCGCAGTTTGCTCAGGATCTGGGACTTGATGGTCTCCAGTCTCAGCACTTTGCTTTGCTCCCTCCAAACACAGGCGGAACACTCGTGAGAACCGGCGTCCTCGTCCAGCAGGGACAGCCCGGCATCCGTGGGCGTCTCGCTGGCCGAAGGCAGCAGCAGATTGGGCTCATCGCTCCCCGACTGTCCCAGAGAGATGAGCACCATCAAGCACAGCATGAAGTTGTACCTCGGCATGACGATGCGTGGACACCAGGCAATGCAACTTTTTTCTTTCTTTTTTTGTCTATTCAATCGCTTTATCCCGTTATATCCCCTCTCTCGGATGTGCGCCGCACTTTGCCTTATCCTACAACAGGCAGGGTATCAGTGGCATGCATCTAATCCAATACAATCACCCCGAAGTTTTGGCGATAAATAAGATTTTGCAATCAATTTAAAAAAAGAAAAAAGTACGTCCCAGTGTGTCTCGGTGCAGGCTGTCTTGATTGAAAGTGAACAAATTATCTGCTTGTTAAATGCATAGCCCGCTCACGTATTGTATAATTGTTGTTTTGGGGTCTTCTGTACAATTTAGTCCATGGAGGTGTGTATGTTCAGAAGTGTCACTGAAAAATGTGCAAGTGCGGTCAAAAAGGGGCTCTTTATATATCTCAGCTGCCCGGTGTCGTAATCCGTCTCCATTGGCTAAGATTGCAACAAAAGGCTTTTAGGTCTGTCACCAAGTCAAGAGGGACAGAGCGAAGGGAGGGTGCACGCACTGTTATGAGAGTATAAATGTTTTTACAGTGCACAAACAATGTCTCACATTAGAGATACTGCCCAATTAGGTTATTATGATGATGACAAAAACTATGGGTCATTGCGCCTGTTGTTAAAAAAGCTTTATTATGGTGTACAATTAGGGGAAAAGCTTAATGGATTCAACACGAATGCAGAACAGCCTCTCGTAAATCACACACATCTTAATATTTACGGTACATTTGAACAAGAAACCGACTGATGGGTATTGTTCATAGACCCATAGTAGATGCAAATTATTTAGAAGTTGCACGTGCCTATCTGATGACTGAGCGTCCGAGTGTCCGTGTAAACCAGTTAAGTAATTACTGGCCTACTCATTCTAAATCATGGCCTATAAAATTCAAGTGTGCTTTTAAAAAGGCTGCTTCTTATGCTAATGTGAAAACTACGTCTAACTGTCATTATTAATATATTGATAAAAGTCATTCAATAGCAGCAAGTCTGCTTAGCCTACTGTATAAGTCTTTATAATGTATACATAGCTGACAATGATTTGATAGTGTAGTTGTTCTAATCCTTGCAAAAAATGTAACACATTAAAAAAAAATCATTGTGAATAATAGATAACTCTTCTTTGTCTCACACGTTATCCATGCCAGAATGCCTTAGGATCAGATACCAGAATGAATCCCAACCATCCATGAAGAGATGCTGTATTCATGGTTTATATCTGCTAAATAAAAGTTGTGATGGAACTGATTTCTTAATGTACTTCACTGGACCAGTTCTATCCTGCCCTCAGTGAACCATCACTGACCCACTAGTGTCACCTACTGGAGGAAAACACAGTTGCAGAACGGATCATGTTTGAGTTATATTATGAGCAATCTTCCACCACTGTCTGAATATAAGTGAATGAATATATGAAATCCACTTTGAGCAAACATAATAAAACAACTTGAGTTATCTTTGCAGCAAAGGGTGGTAATATTTAAATAGTTTTGTAGAATAAAAGTTGCATATTACAAACAGAAAACCATATGAGTGGTAGGCTATCATTCTTCTAATCTTACTATTACCCATGATGCTGAAATATTTTTTACATTGAGTGTACAACACATGTAAGACAGTGACAGGCAGAAGATCCAGGTCCAGATTTTTCTCTCCAACAATCCCATTAGCAGAGTCACAACCCAGAGCACCTGGCCCACACCATGTGTGACTATAGTCATTCATTGAATACACTCTTCTACAGAGGAAAAATACATATTAAGTCGTGATTTGCATTGTACATGATAAGCATCTACTTCTGTATATTGAACAGTATGTTTACATGTGCTTATAGATATGTATGAATATTAACCAAAATGCACATCAGCACATAAACAACTCAGGCATCAGGAGGCGCGTCACTTTCTGACCTCTGATGCTGAGCTTTTGTCACAAACCACAATTATCAAGAAACTCAGGCCATGATGATGATGCTATGGAACAAGGAGAGAAATGTGAAGCAGTTCATCCAAGCCCTTCACTTAAATACATTCAATCAAACTGACAGCTCTCAAGCAGTGGTGGATGTACTCACTGTAACTGAAGTAAGGTAAGAGCAGTAATAACACAGTTTAAAAATATTCTTTATATATTTGATACATTTCCTTCAAGTTGAATCTTATCTTATGTAATGTTATGTACTCTTAAACCGTTGGGAATTTATCTTTTCAATATTGGTTGCATTGGCATGCATAATGGCGTGGCTATCGAACTTGCTTTTGTGATATAGATGGTGACACTTGTTTTACAAAAGGAATGGCAAAGATAACAAATACATTTGTACTGCAATTGTGTGGTAGAAATTGTGAGGTTAAGTAGGCCTAGCTGTTTCTTGTAGACCCAACTGCCCTTAGCGTGTGTTTGAAAGAGTAGTTCAATGTATCTGTTGTTGTGCACCCAAAAAAAGTAGTGTGTGTTGGGGCCCCTTGCTACAGATAAGACGTCTCTGTTCCACCTACAAGCGATATTATTTCACATAGTTGTGTCTAACTGTTAGCTACGATCAAACTGTTCACTATTTCACAAAAACAATAAGATAGGTGAAAAGTAAAGTAATAGGTTTAAAAGTTATAGGCCTATCTTATCTTATCTTCAGCCTTGGGTATCTTTGGGGGTGGGTCCAGGGTATGAGCAGTGCTTGGCTGTCCAACTTGATTTTGATAACACTATAAATGTATGAGGATTAGCACAAAAGAAGATTAGTTTTTGTATTGTTATTGTAACCATGCACACTTCCCTCATCTATACTAGGCTACTTCAAGTTTGTACAAATTACACCTAGACTAATACACCATCAAGCTCACCTGAAAACAGATTAGCCTTGTTGTCATCAATTATTTCACGACTTGACAAGCGCCACGGTAACTGAGATGACCTCAAATCAAACAATTTACATTAAAATGTTTATGTTAAAATGTTGTGCCGTAGATTGAAGCCCTGTTCGCGGGGACGCGCAAACGTGACGTCATCGCCTGTATTGAGCGTTCGTCTAGTTTAAAAAGCTTTTCTCTCTCTTTTGAATGATATATTTCCCATCAGATTAAACAGCAAACGGCTGAATAAATAATGTGCATACAATTGCGAGGAGGCTCGTTTTAAGGACACTTTTCAGATAGTCACAATCTTCGTATTGGAACAAACTTCCGTTTTTGAGTGCAGTCCCACTCTGTTATATTCCTCCTTCCTACAGAACAGACAATGACAGGATAATATGTGATTTGTCAATAGTCCTATTTCTTAAAACCTTCTCTGTTGTTTAAGTGTCTGATAACCACGAATAGTAAGCAATGATATAACAGTAATGATATCACATGATCATGTCAGACACTGTGTTATTTTCAATCAAGCCTAAAAGATAATGTGTTCAAACTGGCTTCACTCACTTTAATTGCTCCTTTGAATATCATTTGTATATATCCCTACTCAACACATGTTTGTATTGTAATGCCACTCATATATTTTTTTTTAATTGTATTTTAAGGTGACATTGAATGCTTTGAAAGGTGCCCTAAAATAAAGTGTATTATTGGTGTCAATAGGGAAGATCTGCACTGTTCTCTACATAACATGTTCAGAGCAGGTATTTCTCCTGCCGGATTTGGAACCCCCCCATATCTTTCTCCAGGATAGTCACAGACTCACCAAAATCACACTGGTGCTTGCTGTTCCCCTCTAGTTTGTGCTCACAAAAGCATTTCACTCTGGGCCCTGCAGGTGAAAAAATAAAGAGGGGCTTCCATATCCGGCAGTGCAGTTGCTAGAGCTGCCGGATTTTGAAGCGCCCCCTGTAATTTTGGCCAGGATAGTCACAGACTCACCAAAATCACACTGGTGCTTGCTGTTCCCCTCTAGTAAAATGCTAGGCCCCGAGTAAAATGCTTTGGTGAGCACAAACTAGAGGGGAACAGCAAGCACCAGTGTGATTTTGGTGAGTCTGTGACTATCCTGGAGAAAGATATGGGGGGGGTTCCAAATCCGGCAGGAGAAATACCTGCTCTGAACATGTTATGTAGAGAACAGTGCAGATCTTCCCTATTGACACCAATAATACACTTTATTTTAGGGCACCTTTCAAAGCATTCAATGTCACCTTAAAATACAAATTAAAAAAAATATGAGTGGCATTACAATACAAACATGTGTTGAGTAGGGATATATAAAAATGATATTCAAAGGAGCAATTAAAGTGAGTGAAGCCAGTTTGAACACATTATCTTTTAGGCTTGATTGAAAATAACACAGTGTCTGACATGATCATGTGATATCATTACTGTTATATCATTGCTTACTATTCGTGGTTATCAGACACTTAAACAACAGAGAAGGTTTTAAGAAATAGGACTATTGACAAATCACATATTATCCTGTCATTGTCTGTTCTGTAGGAAGGAGGAATATAACAGAGTGGGACTATACACTCAAAAACGGAAGTTTATTCCAATACGAAGATTGTGACAGATCTGAAAAACGTGTCCTTAAAACCAGCCTCCTCGCAATTATATGCACATTATTTATTCAGCCGTTTGCTGTTTAATCTGATATATCATTCAAAAGAGAGAAAAAAGCTTTGAAAAGGGTGAAAAAACGGTGAACGCTCAATACAGGCGATGACGTCACCTTTGCGCGTCCCCGCGAACAGGGCTTCAATCCACGGCAAGGCTTCAACCTACGGCATAACACCGGCCCACAGTTATAAAACCCTAACCTTTGACTCCTCCGTGGGCGGAGTGAGGGCGTTGTGTTTAACGGAGTTTGGTCCCCGCGGCTCTCCGTAGATCACGGCCTGGGCGTCGGCAGTTCACTCACTGCTGCTGCTGCGTAGGAAACAACAAAACACCTCTTCACCCACAGAGAGCTCGGAGGTGTTTCTTACGTAAACCTCATCTAAAACATACAAAAAAATGCATTCAGTCACGCTGGAAAGCAATGGTTCGCCAAGGAAACGGACAATATCGCGGGGATTGAGCGAAGATGAGTCTCTCCGCAGCATTATAAAAGAGGTGAGAAATCACGGCGACGATACCGAATTTTGTTCAGAGCTAGTGTTTAGACAGTCAGTTTACTTTTAAAAAACATATACCGTTAACAACGTTTTGAATCTATTTAATTATCGGTTTAACCCTGACGTCTAACCAACGGCATCAATAAACCGTCAGGCCTCCAGCTTTACTTCACTTCCTTAGCTAACATTAGCTTGTGGTGGTTCTGACTAACGTTGTGATGCTAGGCTCTTCCTCCGACTTAAGGTGTGTTCGCCTTTCTTTCAGACCGAGAGTTCCTCCAGGCGTCTGACACGAAGCGACAGCCGAGCAGGCACCCTGAAGAGGAGAACCGACAGCCAGGTAGGAGCCCGGTATCACATGAAGAGGGGATCAAAACACCTCGAGTTAAATAGTGTATTGATCTCTAGCTGCAATCACTTTCATTGTCCTGGATTTCTACAGTGTATGACTCATGTGTCATTCGCATTGCAATCTAATGATAAATACATGTAAGTCACTTAGTATATTTAAAATGTAAATACTGTGCTAAAGTGCAGTTTTGAAGTACTTTAATAATCTTTATTTGTTATACTTTATGCCTTACTCCACTACATTTCAGAGGGATGTTGGTAATTTGGCTTTATTACATTTTAACTGACAGCTTAAATCAGTTTAATATTGTCCTTGAACATTGAAGATAATGTTGTCTTTCAGTTTGGCATTCTTTTCTGTTTTATACATTTACAGTACTGATGTAAACTATTATCGATGACAATGAGTTTGATGGATATAAAGCTGCTGTTACACTAAATTCTGTCCACCATCACGTTGCATGACCTGAATAGAAATGTCAGTTATATTGCTAATGTTTTTTTATTTGTATCATACTTAATCCCATGTTGACTTTTGAGAGCTGTTATCTAACATGGTGCAGGGCAGTATTTAGAGGTCACAACTTTTGATAGCTGCTTTTTCAGTGATAAATTGTCAGATTATGTTACACTAGAAAATGAACTACACAAAGATAGAACAAAGGGTAGGCAATGTTAGAGTGTTAGTGCACTTAAAACAGACTGATAGCTTTAAACGTTGCCACAATTGTTTTGTTATTTATTGTTCGGGTCATATTATAGTTTGTATGTGTAAACTAGAGGAGCAAAAGAGAAAATCCTATATGGTCTTTTTGAGATCATGCATGCATTTAATGAATTTAATATAAAAACATTGTTTACAAATGAACTATTTTTAAATAGTTTGTTTTCCTTTCAGCACTCGGACCAGGACATCTACATGGGACTCCCAGAAATGGTGTGTATTTCTTACTGTTTGTATATTTATTTCAATATTACTATTTCAAGTAAAGTGCTATCAGGTTTATTAGATCAGTGATGCCTTTTCCGTTACACATTGAGGGATTGTCGTGCTTCCAGAGGATTCCTCCCACTGATAGCTATGAGAGCTCATTAAACACTTGTCCACCCACTGACTGGCATTTGTTCCCTAATGTTGCCCACACTGATCTGTATGTGTGTCTGTGGTGTAGCTGGAGCTGCAGGCCAGCTATGACGAGGTGGTGCAGGAGCTGCGTGGGCTGGAGGTGGAGAGAGAGACTCTGTTGTTCCAGGTGGACGTCCTGCAGGACACGCTGGAGGGTGTGGAGGAGCTGCTGGCTGAGGCCCACAGGGAGGCTGGGGAGGCTAGTTCGGTACGCTCAATAACTCTGAAACGTTGCTTAGCTTCAAAACAATTAAAACATTTGACTACAACAAAAATATATATGGCTCCACCCTATCCTATCCTATCTAATGAGACGTTTATTTTGTGTTCCTTGTATCAGATCTAAAAGCGTTTTCCCTCGATTTTTAGGTGTTGGGACGAGAAAGGGAGGCCAAGAGGAAACTGGAGAGCACGGTCAGCTCTCTGATGCAAGAGGTGGAGAGACTAAAAGAGGTAATGGGACAATTAATGTTGCAAACTTTACAGTAGCACAAGGTTTCTGAATGTAAATATCTGAAGTCTTATGGAACTTGTTATGTTACAGTTTTTTTGGAGTTAGATCATTTCTTATTTAACACAAAAAAGGGAGAATGGTGCATGTTTTTATTCCCCGTAGATATCTTATAGTAATCCCCTTTTCCTACCAACTTGTACAAGTTACTGACTGTATGGCAGTGCATGAAGTACTGTAAAGGTACACTAAAGTCATGCAGTATTAAACTTGATCATACAAAAATATATTTACCATGACGAAAATAAATCTGAAATGATTTAGCAGTGATGTTGGTTTTTCACATCCAGTATCCAGTAGAGATAACATTTCACAATCATGTATTTAGTCGCCTATAAACTGAGAAATGAATGGCTTTTCTTTGCTGCCATATTGATAAGAAATAGCAAATAGAACCATATTTAGTTTTAACTCAAAGAATCTTAATTTAATGTCCAATTAAATGTGCGTTTGCAGGAGAGGAATAACAAGCCATCTGCTCCAGAAAACACACATGAAGGTTTGGACGAGGTGGACCAGATAACAAGACAAGGTGAAGAAGTGAAAAATGATTCAAAGGAGTTGATGAAAGACTCGTCGCTGTGTGAAACCAGAGCTAGTGTGTCAGAGGAAGTGGTAGAGTGCGACGGGAAAGAGGAAGAGAGCCTTCTGATGAAGCTGCGTATCCATAAGCCCCTGGGCCACATGCCCTCTCTCGCAGTGGACAACCCGTTCGCAGACGGGGTCCTGCTGAGGTCTTGCGAAAACGGGTTGGAGGAAGGAAGAGACTCCGACAGCACAAGTGCCTACGAGGATGCATCTGCCGAGACTCCAGAGCAGGACAGGGAGTTTCCGGGTGAGGAGGGCGAATTGGATCTGCCTCACGATTCAGAAAAGAGTTCTCCTAACAACGCTCCGGTCAATGGGGATCCCCAAGACCCCAAAAACCCTGAAGCTTGCGTTGTGTCTTAATCTGTTTCATCTACTACTACTGGGCAAAAGGTCAAAGGTTATTGATTATTAATCATTTGGTGCGATTCAAGAGCTCTTTGATTTGAAAGTTACCAACATCGATAGTTTTGTTCTTTGATAACCTCGAGGTTAAAACGTACCTCAAAAGTTAGAACTAACTAGTTGATCGATAGAAAATGTATCTGTAACTAATTAGACAATCTATTAATTGTCTCAGGCAGACATTTTGCTAAAACGAGTGCTAGTTTCACATTCTAAAATGTCAAAGCGATATCTTGGGAGTTTGAAAACGTCACCAAAGACGAAAAGGTAGTTTTCCACTAGTTTTTGTAATTTTACAACTTGATAATGAATTCATCCTTAGCTTAATTGATAATGAGAATAATGGTTAATGGCAGCCCTAGTTGTAATACACTGTACGTTTAAATTCACAACAAAACAACTCAGGGCTCGGGTGTTTCTCCAGCTCCACTAATGACTACTTAATACTATCTGCCAATAGTTTATTTTTAATATCCGTCTTAACTTTTCTTTGTTATACATTGATAGACATGGAAACAAAGTCCATGCTGCTTTGACCTTTTACCTCTTTTAATCTTTAAATAAGCTTTGTTGTATACTAACAGCTGCCAGGACACAACATCAGGATTTACCTGTAGACAAACAGTGAGCTCTGAGGAACTGGACAGGGACAGTTCATGTTCATCACATTTGTAATTCCAGTTGGAGAGACATTTAAGACACACGCGTCAATGCATGTAAAGATATGTGTTGTTACTGTCCCCAGCTGCAGAGCTCACTGTAAAGAAAGTGTAGGACATGTTTATCGATTTTTGGAAGCTAAGAGCGGCGACAGGTAATCCAAGGCAGTTGTTGGAAGGGTTAATACGATACAAATTAAAGTAAGGGAAAATGCCATCTTTTTGCTGCCTTGCTAATCTTTAAAAGAAGATGTATTTTTTTATCTTTTATATAAACTTCCCTTTTTCCTGTTTTTACGTTGAAATGAGGGAAATTGATTTGGCTGCATTTGCACTTTCTTAAGTTCTTGAGGCATAAATGTGTCCGATTACATTAAAGCAACATTCCCTTAACAACGAAACCTGTCAGCGAGAAGTGATCAGCTGACCTGCGGCAGGCTGCCTGCATGGTTACACTGTACTTGCACATATGCAGTGAAACGTGCTGAAAACTAGTCTCTTTGTATGTCTGATTGCTGTAAACACCTTGTATTTAATCGCAATTTTTTTTTTTTATGTGATGTTACATTCCTTAAAAGCTTAAATCAAAGTGGACCCTTTCACCTCATTTGTGATAGTGTGCATGCGCACCTAAGAATGTATATCGATTTCCAAACTGCACATGAATTGATCCGTCATTTATTAGTACTTTTGCACGCAGTACACATATATTAAATCATACTTTGATCCAAGGTTTATACTGCAAAGATTTTGAAGGGACCTTTGTGTTGTTGCAAATGTATCTCTTCGTCATTTCTTAGTTTCTAAGGTGAAAGGCTAAATTAACTAATTGTTTACTTAAAGGGAGAGAAAACGACATGACACTACTAATTTAATAAAATCACAATTTTCATATCTGATGCGGTTACAAGAAGAACACGAGTGGAACAACATTTGTACTGTCATTTTAAAAAGGGGTCGAATGTTTGCAGAATTTAGCTGCTTATCATTTTGTGGGTTTGTAATATTTGTATTTAATCTTTTGTACTACTTTCATCACAAAGTCTTATCACATAATGCTGGCTCACATGAGAATACTTGATTACCGGTTATGTTGGCGGCCATGATGCACAAACATCTGTTTCAGATGGGAGTCAGGTGTTACTGTAGTGCTGTGTGGTGGCACTAGTCAGTTCTTCATCAGGTCAACATGAACACATAATCATTTGTTGTTTTTGTCATCAATTCCTTTTATGTCATGATTTGTGTCTAGGTCAAAGGACTTGGTTTGTTGTAATAAACCAGTAAAGTGAAGTTACTTTGACTTTAAATCTGATCAATCCTCTTTTATAATGAACTTAATCTCCTGTTCAGCATTGTAGGCAAACCGACTCTTTTGGTGACAATTTCTCGAGTAATCACATTGGTCCAAAAGAAATGTTCTTACTGTAATTTGGTGCATTTTATTGCTCTATATATTGTTGTCCTGAGCTTTGTATTTAAAGTTCAAATGTATCAGTAAGTTACAACAACGTATACTTGTATTGGAAATCACATTTGAGACATGTCAAAATAAAAAAGGTGAACAATGCTGATGCTGATTTATTTTTACTTCCATATTCTTGACATGATAATTGGATCACACATTTTCACTGTTATTTTCCAACACAAGTCACAAGCTTATCAGCAGTGATAAACATTCACATCATGTTGGAAGTCACTTTTTAAATTAAGTTTTTATTTTGATCTCTGAATTGTGTACGCCGGACGTTTGTCCAATAGATGGCAGAGCAGACCTTTATCACATGTAGGAGTCAGAGCCTCCTTACATTTGATTTGTTAAGTGGGAAACTCATATTTAATACAATTGATAGCATTTTTTTTTTATTAGGTGATGTTGATAATTTAAACCTGTTAACATATTCCATTTAGTTCCGTTTTTACTATTCAGGTTCTTAGCTGTATCTGTTTTTAAAAAAAAAGTAAACCACATTTAAATGAGTTGTTTTTATGTCTAAATGCTATCTTATCTTGTGTTTTCATCAGTACTGAAATTCTTCTTATAGGTTTTCAGTAACACACAGATAAATAAGCAACACAGTTGATTAATATCACAAATAATTCATCTGTTGATTGTACAACATCAACACAGGATACAATTAAGTACTGAAGATTGTATTACATTGATTTGGAACAATCAATTACAATATAAAAAGATGAATATATGCATTACATTTAATCGGAAATCAGATTGAGCTAAAGTGGAACGTTGCTAGTTATAGATAAGGAGGGGCTGACACAAAACAGATATGAATCTGATCAAAACATCCCCACTTCTTTCTTCATTTTCAGTTGTTTCCACTGTGGCATGCTGGCAAAGTCATCTTTGTTAATCCCAAAAATGTTGTTGAAGTCAGAGTCGGACAGGTATTTCTGAAAAAGCAACAAGGTACATGTTTACATCTCACAAACAGTCTATGGTGCAAAGGCCTCAGACATAAATTACCTTTTGTTATTAAAGAGTACATTTGTGCTTTATATAATAATAAATAAACATTGCAGTTGCTTTTTTTTGTAAGAAAAAGGCCCTTAAAGGTTTTATTATCACACACACACACACACACACACACCTCTTTCTGGGTTGGGTCAACACCTTCGGGCAGCTCATTGGTGAGCTTGTTGACCAAGTCGTCAGGTGGAAAGCTTTTCTCACTTTCCACACAGTTCTGCTCCTAAAACTCACAGTAAGGTTCAGGTTAGGGTTAACAGATGAATTGCAGTCATACATTCAGATGGTGGTAGATAGAAATTGTACATACCAATGCAACGCTAACAGGTGATACTTCATCTCCCAACTCCTTCTTCAACTCCTCATAGCTCTTTCCTCCCTAAAAGAAAGATATTTGATGTTAAGTGTATGTTTTTTTAACTCATACATTTATGATGCTTCATTTCAGTTCAGAACCACTCACACTCCACTTGGAGGGGTCCCAGGCTGTGAACCACCCAGTGAAGGTGGGCGGCTCAAAGCCCTGCTTGATCAGGACGATGGGGGTGTCTGGGTCTCTGGCGCCGGGGTGTGTGCGCAGGTACTCTCTGCTGGTCACCACTGCTTCTTTACGCTCCACCTCATTGGCTTCTTTACCGATCCAGAGAATCACCTGAGACCAACGATGAGCAAAGGCACATATTATATTTCCCTAAGTAGTATTGCACAAAACAACCTTAGGGGGGCATACGTTGCAGCACGGACTCCTAACTCAGGAGTAGGGATGGGTATCGTTTGAAATTTATCGATTCCGATTCCGATTCCGGTTCTGCTTATCGATTCCGGTTCTTATCGATTCCCCGTTTCGATTCCAAAATTGTAAAAGAAAGAGGTCAAACGTTTAGATAACAAAAATATCTTTATTCTTTTCAGCTTTAACTGAAATTGTTACAAATAAAAAATATACATGCAATACAAATGTATTGCACAATAGCTGTGCTTTATTTTAACTGAGCTATGCCTGTGGCAAGCTATTAACACTGTGCCCAATTGTCTTTTATTTTTTAGTGTAGTGGAGCCTCACTTCAGAGCGTTTACCGCGACCCATCTTTGGTGTTATGAAGTGACTGAGCTCGTGAACTGTCTACGGGAGGGCGGGGGGAGCCTCGCTGCGGGGCAACTGTGGACCTCTGTCGCCTGTCAGCGCAACTTACATGATGCCGTTTAAAAAAATTAAGGGCGGTGCCGGCCATCAGCGTACCGAGCCGGCCGTCAACGGCCCGCTGACGACCGGCCGTTCTGTGATTCTCCAGGTCCGCCCTGTATTCCACCGGGTCACCGCGGCGCCGCGGTACAGACGGACCCGCTGGAATACAGGGTCTACCGCGTTTAGGAACCGTTAAGCAGAACCGAAAAGGTGTATTTTGTACGGGTACCCGGTACCCGGCATTTTCTTATCGGTTCTCATCTGGAACCGAGTTTCGGTTCCCAACCCTACTCAGGAGTGGTTATGGAAAATGTCTCTGAGCAAGGGCCCTGTTGCTATAGCAATAACACACATGTATCTGTTATAAACAAAAATGGGATTCATTGATCAACAGCCATATCATAGACTTTAGGGTCTATTAGTACAATGTGTAATTATGAACACTATTTCAAGTTACAAACAACTGTTGACTAAATTGTAAGGCATACTTAACAGTGGCCTTCAAAATGTTTGAAAACAAAGGCTGCGCTGTAGCCTATTCACATGTTGAGTTATATTAACTTGCTTATGATTAGTTATCATGCTGGTAGTGGCTTTAGTTTCTACCATTAATTAATTAGTTGAGCTATTTGTCTTTCCGTCATTTTCTTCTCTGCTTAAGAAACTATTAAGGCTCTTTAAAGTCCTCCTCCATATAGGAGGACGTTTAACAAAGGAGATAACTTTGACCGTTAACAGGGTTTTGTCTAAAATGTAAGGAAATTTCTTAGAAAACATCATGAATATATGTTTCTTTGGGAGGAACTCTTTGTACTAGGAAGCTGCATGATTAATGCCTACAGTACATTGGCACTAAATGAAGTCAGTTTCCCCGCCATGAACAGTGTCGCCTCACACCTGGTCCCATGTGTCCAACAGCATGACATCGTCCTCGTTGAGGTCATCCTGCGTGAACTGGGTCACTTCAGTCACGATGAAGCGTCCCGTCTTATTGGAGCATTCAAACAGGCGCGGCTGTTGGTCTAAAACGCTCTGCTGTAATCTACAATAAATCATATTGTCATATATTTATATAAGTCATATCATAGAAAATAAGCTTTTCACCCCAATGTCTTCATTAGTCCATTTGCAAATATCAGTACTGTATTTGTGTCATCATCACCTCTTGTCATTAGCATAGGGAGCTTTCCCTCCAAGCAACTCCCAGAATTCAAAGGGCTCCTGACCCTCTGCCACAATCTCCTCAGAGCCTTGTTTTGACTTCTGGCCAATCACAGAGCTCACCTCCTTAGCCATGGCTCTCTCGTCTCCACTGGATCCCTGGTGACAAACTCTCGGTTACTTTGATCTATACACTTTATGGCTGACATTATATGGACATCCACATTTTATTAAAAACCAAATGTGATTCTAGATTATATCACTCAACACAATGGATATTAACCTGCAGCTATGCTAACATTCAATTCAAAAATTCAAAACCTTTATTTATCCAGGTAAAATCCCATTGAGATCAATGATCTCTTTTTCAAGGGAGACCTGCAGCAGTAGGTTCCACAAGAAGACATACAAACATAAACAACAGAACAACAAAAGGACATCATACAGCAAAATGTACAGGGATTACAATTTACATATTTAACCACATGTACAGGTACCAACAGCATCTGATTTTGTAGCATCCAACCGAGCTTTAAAAACATGTAGTGGTACTAGCTTGGTAAACTTCCATTCTTTTTGCAGACTGTTCCATGTTAGTGGAGCTGCACATCTAAAAGCTTTCTTCCCTAAGACAGTCCTAGCACTTGGCACATTTAATAAAACCACAGCATGCGATCTCAGGCAATAAGTACTTTCAGTACATTCTTCATTGAATTAAGACTTTCAGATAAATTGTTTAACCTGGCTGCAGGGATTTATGATTGCATGAGTTGGGCGATAAGGCCCGTCTCACAGTCTGCATTATAGTTCCAGACCTGACTTTGTGCACAAGGGCCTCCTTCAAACTGTTGGCACAATGCTGGAGGCACACTGTCGTCAGACGTATAATGTATTTTTTACTTTTACTGTAACATTTTGGCCTTAGCATCTTTGCCTCTGTCAAGGTGGTTTTGTTTTCAGAAAGCGTCATGTGTTTTAAGGCAGGATTACAGACAAACTACTAACCTAATGTTCCTTACACTTGGTGGAATGTTTAGCAGCCGCCATTAAAGAACATATTCAATTTTGTAGCAGATCTACAAATATGTTTTCATTATTTAAACATTGCTATAGGGTATTTGGCCTTAGCAGAGATGTGCACTCACAAAGTGCCATTCAAGTTATATGTTTACCTTTATGTAACTACAGATACACAAATGTGAACAAAAAATGTTATGAAAAGTATCATCATGAATGTTTGGTCACCCTGCTGCTGCATGTCGGTGAATGATCAGTTATATGATTTTAAACACCTCTTTTCTTACCTTTCCACACCACAGGTGGATTCCTGATTGGCTCTTTAGTAGAAACACATCATTGGAGTTGAGAGAGCTGGCCAGCGCAGTAAGCTCCATGGCTTTGGTGTTGGACGGGTCAGAACCGTGAACCTGGAACAACCTGATGGGCGGCTCTGGGTCAGTGCCCCCTTCTCTAGATGTGCCGCCCTAACATCAAAACAGAGTTTTATTCTGTATTGTAATAAGAAACTATATATATATATATATATATATATCTAAATACATAATTGAAATGCAGTTGTACCTCATATATGACCATTTTGCCCTTGAACATCGCCATAAAGTGTCTTGGTTCCTTTCCCATTGTTATTCTGACTTGGACTGGCTCGTCACCGTACTTCTGATCCAAGATCACTGCCTGAAATGCTGAGGCTGCAATTTCATCCTGTGTCGCATGAAGCCCCTGAAACAATAAGTAGTAGTTTTCATCATTTGATACAGTAATAAAAGGAACATTTAATGCAAGGACAGCAAAGGGCAGCCATCTTGTATGGAACTTTGTAAGAAATGATAAATTGTCAGTGTATAATCAGGAACGACTTTTATTGTGTAAGACATTGGGTGTTAAAGCAAATTCTCACCTGCCACATATAGAGCAGGTAACTCTTCTTGTTGTTAGCCAGATAGGTATACAGGATCAGGTAGCAGTCTCCTCCATAAAAGTATCCGTGCCATGAAGGGTCCACGAGGACAAGCTCCAGGTCTTCAATTCTCCACATCTGAACACATCACAAAGGTTTATTACCACAGAGATGCAATCGATGATGTGATCATGTTTATTACATACAGGGAGAAACCTTAAGTAATACAAAGCATTCATTTTGTCTTGCTCAGATATGTCAAACTCAATTTATATTCAATACGGTGTCCACCAGAGGACATGTTACAGTTGTGCGGCCCTACAAGGCTACAGCTTTCTTACAGAACACATTTTGACATGTGTCATTAACCAAAGCACAGGTGTAAATAATTCAAGTGAATGTTGAAATGTTTCAACACGAGCATAAGCTTACACTTTGTAGCAAAGGCTATCAGTCTATCAACGTTGAGGAACATATTTAATTTGAAATGTTTCTCATCTGTAAAACAGTTTAGGGGAAATAAACGTTCATAGCTGTGAAACAAACATTGTTGTGGAATAGTCAGGATCAGTGTTTTCTGTTATTTTTGCCATGAGAGACTGAAGTACACCACTATCCAATATCCTAAACAATACTAAAAGCATTCATTGTTTCTTCCAGTTGAAATATAATTTCTCATTGCACTCCAAACACAAGTTCATGTATTGAGTCTGAGGAAGTGAAGTAATGTTATTGTTATGTATTTTTACATAATCATAAACACAGGAGAGAAAACAATTCAGATCAGACTTAGAAAAAGGTTTTCCTCACTGGCCTCTCCGGGCATCTGTACCTTGTACTGATGAAGCTGACATTATTCAATCATACGTTTTTGCAAAAGATTAAAGTGCCACAGATACCTCCACTTCACCTGAGCCATTGTCCACCATGCGCTCCTGTGCAGCGACCTCTGGCATGGCGTGCATCAGAGAGGCGTCAAACTTTTCCTGTGTGATGTGAGCTAAAGCAAAGTATGGTAAAAAACTAAAAAACGTTAGAGTTGATATGTTTATCTATCAAAAGCAATAGGTTATTTTAGTCTGTGCTTGTGTTTGGGTTAATTTAAGAACACACATACCCACTTTCCCTCTTGTATGCACTTTTCCCAGACCTTGAGTCTGGTCCTTCACAGTCCACCTCTGGAACAGCTGCTTAAACAGAGCTGACTCCGCCCCGTCATTCACCGTCTCCACATTTGTTGTCACAGGGTAGTTTTTCGCTTTGATGAACTCCTGTAACAGCCACACAACTTAATAAGAAATACAATCAAGCAGAAATGATTACAGGGCTATGTAATAATACTGCATTCTAGGTGTCTACATTACTGAGTGTATACAAGAGCAACCAGACAGAAGATAAGGATCTACGTGGACGTCACTCACCAAAGCTCTGGACATGGCAACCTGCCTCTCAGCTTTGTTTGCTTTCTTTCCCTTCCATACAAAGATCTTTGTTCCTCCTTGATCCAGGATGAAGCAGTCCTAAACAGATAGTTGCAATAAATATTCATGACAAAATCATTTGTGTCCAAACAGTAGAGTTTAAAGCCCTAAGCTATGCAGGACTTGGTGAAATGTCACCGTAGACCCCCTAAGACTAACCTTAGAAAAATGCCTCCTAACCCCCTCCCCCCCTAGTTTACTTGCTTTGATTTAAACTAAATTCCTGAATGACTATAACATAATGATTAAGTAGGTTAATTGAAATGCAGCTGAGAATTGAGACAAATTAGCCCTAATATTGCTGCTTGTTGTAAGTTTAGACTACACCAAATACATAAAAGAGGTGTATCCTATGCTTAGTTTTGCACTTTCTAGTTTTAAATACTTCCTAAAATAATATTTCTTAGATCTCTGTTAAATCCCACACATTTAGGCTATTGTAAGTCATCCTCATTTGATATCTGATGGAATATTTCATTTCATATTCAATTCCATTCACTAACACCCACCCTAAAAAGTCTGGCGCCTTCCACTTTGACAACCTCTGTCCCTTGTTGTACAACCATTCAAATTGTTATTGCTCTAGTGACACCCGTCTGGACGTGGCCGTATTATATAACATTTGCATCCTTTATTTGACGACAAACTCACCTCATGGCTGAGGAGATCCTGAACCAGAGGTCTAGAAGCAGCTTCTGTGACCTTCATCTTTCCATCATCATCTGACACCCTAAACAAAGTTGAAAACAGATAAAAAGAAGAAGGACCCAACTCTCTACCTGAAAATGAAAAGCATGAATGGAACACGGGATGTCACAGAGGTGGAGCAGCTCACTGGTAAAGAGTGAGTTTTGCTTTCTGTTCCTGGTCAGCAGTTTCATCTGGAGGTCCGTCCGTCGGCTTGGAGCTTCTTTTGCCCAGAACGCCCTCCAGGACCTCCATGTTCTGAGGGGAGTTGCTCTCTGCGTCCCCCTCGATCACTCGGATCTCCGCCCGGCCTCCTCTCTCTCTGTCCCGGATGTCCTTGGCCAACAACATGCCCTGAAGCACAACTCAAAGAAATGACACAATGCAGAAACCTCAGAGTTCAAACTGTCTTTATATCGGATTTTCAATACACCATTGTGATAGCCAAACACATCTAACAAAACAATAATTTTATAAAAATAAAAATTGTATCAGTCAACTTTCTGTCTTACTTGTGAGATTCCATTAAAAATACATTTAATACAGAATTTTGAGATGATTAAATATGAATTGTTCTTTTCTATTCGTTCATCTTTTCTTGGACATGTAGCATTTTTTCTTAAATCCCACTATAATGATATAACTACGTAACCTAAATATTGGCTTCATATAAAAACATTACTCATATTACAATATATATTTTATTATTATTTATTTATGTTCACAGTCTTAGAAACACCAACTGGTTAAAACAATGTATTTATTTTACTAGTTTTTTGTTTTGCCACATTTTGTTCATATTCTAGTTCTTGTCTGTTCTTACATGTTGTAGTATTTTAAATCACCACCTGTATATGTCACACTAGCTGTTATGTGTAATACTATTTGCACAAAAACCAAGAGTAAACTAATAGCTACATTTAGAAAAAAAGGTGTGTGGTATTGACAAAATGATGTCAACACCTAGAATATGAATAAATTAGCTGTAAGTTTTAGTCCACACTGCTTTGCTGTTAAAAAGCGTTGAAGTAAATGCATCATTCAGTGCCTCAGGCCTGTTAACAGGAAGTAGGAAATAAGCTTTGACGTCACCCTCCCAGAGCTTTCCATACTGGTGTAATGATGGTATTTAGATCTGAAGAGTCCAGCATGGAAAAAGACTTGTTTCATATATATCCAGAAATATGATGGAAGGAAAACCTCAAAGAGTAAGTCATGGTTTTCTACGTAATTCCAACTCTGTTCCTGTACTTAGGAAAATATAGCTGCAAATGAGTTGACAGAGCTGCATTTCTGTCATGTTTAAGGCATATCGTCATCTCTTAATGATAGTAGCTGGAGGTTTCTTGATGTTATTTGGTTAATTGTTAATGCAAGACACCTTTTCATGTGAAAGGATAATACCTTTTTATCTTGTCTTATTTAAGAGTAAAAATATTGAGTGAATGCTTTTAGTGTATTTTCTGCTCCAGTATCTTTCTGTGTTTCGATATGGATCCGCGCCAAAGAGTGGACACAGGAACCCAAAAACAAATCTTACTTTAAGCATTTCCTGTTTGTTACACTTGGGTCCGTTCCACTGAACAATGGTCTTCCCAATGTCCAACAAAAACACATCTCCAAGGTTGAAGCTCGTCCAGCTCATCTCCACCTGAATCAAATAAAAACATAGAGCAATACATCAGCATTGAATTAGTCTTTGCATCATTTTTCATGACGAAATGTATGCATAATGTCTGTCACATGAGTTTATTTGAACAACACATTCTTAAGGCTATGACATGTACAACCCTGTAATGAAACTGCCCACCTCTCTTGCAATCACTCTTTTCCTCCCTTTGACATGAAGCAGTCTCTTCACATCGTAGTTGTTGGTTTCAGTGTGCCTCATTCCTGATGCAACGCCACCTTTCTTATAGCTAGACAAAGAGAAGATGAGATTTATTTCACTCTATTTTAACATTGGCCTCCTGTCCTGGCAGTCTGACTTACATTACTCCTTGTTTGAAGTAGCCCTTGAAGGCATCAGACTCGTGGCTCTGAACCTCGCGGTGCTGGACCGGAGTGGAGCCCAGGAACTCGTCGAGCTGGACGGTGTAAATAGCAGCTGCACCCTGTTCATCCTGAGAGGACTGACAGCCGATCCAGTAATGGACGTCATAAGCGAGAGAGCTGCCTACCTTCTGAGTCTGTGGGGAGAGAGCAGTGTGTGGACCATGGTGTGGACCAGGACGTTATCTGATGATCAGGGCTAGTAACAGAATACATATACATTTAAGCAGGATATATGATCACATTGCCAAAAATGAGTATCTATAATCAGCCCAGTTTACAATTAAAATGTGTTTTTTAATTATGATTTATACTACATTTTATCATTACACAGAAAAAGCAACCTTTTTTTTTGTTACGAAACCGCACCCCACATTATGACTGCATCCTTATTTTAAAGTAATGCAAAGTTATTCAGACTAAATAAATAAGAATATACTAATGGTTTACCGTGTTTATTGCAATTATGGTAATTTGTATTGAGTAACTCTATTTCAAAGTGGTTAATTAAAAGCACATCTGTCTCTACTTCCTGTAAAAAGCCTGCAATTACAACAGCAGTCTTTACTAAACAAACAAGCAGCCATATCTTCTAAAACCACACCTTCTCAGACTTACAGACAGAAGTATGTAGCAGTCACCCTCGTAAAAGTTTCCATACGATTTCTCTGGGATTTGTACCAGCTCCATGTTCTGTGCGCACACACACACACACACACACACACACACACACACACACACACACACACACACACACACACACACACACACACACACACACACACACACACACACACACACACACACACACACACACACACACACACACACGCACACACACAGTGAGAGAGAGGAAAAAACTACATTTCAGGTCTAAAGTGACCAGCACACTTTTTACACATCATCACTGCTGTTTTAGTCATTTCCTCCCGGAGAAGCAGACTTTTTTTCCCCTTGAAACCTGACTGCTGATAAAAATGTTAGACTAAAGTCACTATTGAACCATTTACCATAAAATCAAATTACCTCAATTCTCCAGATTATAATCCCTGCGCTGCGAGTTACTGCCCTGAATGTGTACTCCATGTTGCTCGGATGCACTCGAGTGACAATATAGACTTTTGATGCTTTGTTTTCTGAAATTGGAAGAGGAAATGGTTATGAAAACTTAACTGTTTTGGTCCTTAGTTTAGTGTATTTGTTTAGTTGTCAGGGACCATGTACAAAAAGAACATACATCTCAAAGAGATAAAATGCTTTGCACCAGATTATAGCATTGCTTTAAGAACATTAAATGTTAAAGGATGCAATTTCCTTGAGAAGACAAATGTTAAACTATTTTCTCTAGATTTCTATCAAACTAATATCAAGCCATCATGTTTAAATCTTATAGTTCATATATAATCAAACATACCTGGTATTCTTGTTTGATGACTTCCCTTGTCGCGTGTATGGTGTGCCAACAGCTGATCTTCTATCTGATATCAAAAGCCCTCAATCCTCTTCCCCTCTCTGCCTTTAAATCATTTGCCTGTGTTTTGCATCTTTCAGGACCTCACACGGTATTCTATCCAATCACTAAGGAAGGAACACAATCATGTAGGCAAATGTTCTGAAAGAAAAAGGATTGACTCATATTCAAATGCACAAACACACACTGTCACTCTGACCCCCGCCATCTTGTCTGTATATTTTACACTCGGCCCTGTACCACCACGGTATGAACTATGAGTCGAAATAATGTTCTTAAATAATACATTAGTGCTAATGGGCTTTGAGAAGAATGGTTTATATACAGTGAGATGGGTTTCTATGGCGACATATACTGTAAAAGCAGATGTCAGAGAAGTACTCTGATCTGGTATGAGTAAAAGTAGAAGTACTAGAGTGCAGGAATATTCTTGTGACAAGTAAAAGTCCTGCAATCAAAAGGTTACTCAAGTAACAGTAGAAAAGTATTAGCATCAAAATATACTTAAAGTATCAAAAGTAAAAGTATTCATTCTGCCAATTGGTCCATTTCAGAATAATACATATTATATGTAGTGTTATCAGAGCTGGTAAAGGTGTAGCTAGTTGTAATGACTTTGAATACTGCAGGGTAGCTTGTACCAGCTTTGTACCAGCTTTGTACTCCAGGTGTAACTAAAGTCTGATTCAATAGTTGATTATATTTCACATCATTCATCCAAATCTGCAAAGTAACTAAAGCTGCGTAAATGTAGTGGAATAAAAGTACACCATTTAACTCTGAATTGTAGTGGGGTAGAAGTACAAAGTAGCAAAACATTGAAATACTCAAGTAAGTACAAGACTACTACTGTAGACTAAACAATGGTCAGCCCAAGGTCTGAAGAGTACATCTTTGAAAAATAAAACAATCTGGGGTTGTGGAGTTAGACAGAAGTGAGCGTAGAAGAGGTCAAGCTGCATCGTGGGTTATTTAAGCGGCAGGCTTTGACAGAGAAAAGGAATGAGGAAAATATATTGTTACTAATGTATAAATAATGCAATAACTAATAATATGTACGTTACTTCATAGCGTGCATGTCAACACACAAGACAATCTCAACGTGTTTGTTTTGTTTTCCTTAAACACACAGTCACTCCTCAGAATCATTTTCATACACAGCACATGAATAACACACACACACACACACACACTCACTCACTCACACACACACACACACACACACACACACACACACACACACACATACACACACACACACACACACACACACACACACACACACACACTGTTTCATAACCACCTGTTAATGTAATGAAACCTAAATTAATGATAAAAAGGATGTATATTCAAATAATCAAATCCTTGTTCAAACAAACCTTATTCAATGACGGTACAGCGTAAAGAAGTCATAAAGGTGCCATGCACTACCACGAAAAATAATTACCATATTATAAAAGATGGCAAATACAATGGACGTCTGGTTGTAGCAGCATCAAACAGAATCATCAGAGGTGCTTTTATTCCTGTGTATGAAGTTGAGGTGGCCTGATTATAAACACGTCAACTTGGTTCAGTTACATTTGATGAACAGATTTGTCATTGTAGTCATGTTTAAAGTTTTAAAGACTCACTCCACTTATTTTATACATGATTTAAGAAAAAGGTGGAGTGTGACTTCTGTGAATTCAACTGTATATCTGTGGATCTCTTAATGTATAAAGGCTTCATGTTGTTTTAAATAAATATATATAGCTTTATATCTGTGATGTCAAAGCTTCAGAAACGTTCTAACTTCTTAAAGCTCTTATATATTTCTTCATCTAGAGGAGTGTGTTTTTGAAGAGGTGAGAGCAGATGTTATAAGTCACAGTTCCCGCTCTGATTGCATCAGTGATACAGAACAAACCACCATGCTTTAAAAAGAGTGCCAATGGGCTGTGTGCTGAAAGGCACGAGCAGGAGCTCAAAGACATCCTGCAGGGATGCTGAAAATGTCAAAATGCAAAACTATTGCATCATATTTTGTTAAGAATAAAAATAATACTGTTTTGATTTGCAAAGTCAATTTACCACGATTTACATAATGAGAGCATGAATAAAGGACCAAAAGCAACTTAAACAAGATAAGACACAAGATCTGCCTTCACCAATGTTTCATGTGAAAATAAATGCATTGATTAGTTCATATTGTGTTATACAAAATCTGTCATTGTGCTGCTAGAGAGTTTAATGTAGACAGTAAATAGTCTTCCTCATAACACAGTGCCTCTATGACTCCTGCCTCCACTCACATTACGCCTCCTCCTCCTCCGTAACGTTGATGTCCTGTGTTTTATGGAAAAAGCAGCCTTCCCCTCAGAGCCTATATATACCTTTAAACATTTCATGGCCGGCTCAAAACCATTACAAATAACAGAAGGCAACACTTGGCCCTGCAACAAAGAAACTATGTATTTATCTGAAACTATCACAAGCACTTAAAAAGAACAAGGTTTGTGCAGTTATGCAGTATTTCCTTTTGTGTATGCATGAGAGGAAAGAAGAGACGAAGGGAGGGACGGGAAGCCTGGAGCGCTCTGAGCAGAATTTGTATATTTGTTTGTCAATCAGGTAAAAGGTCAAGTGAAAATTGAAAGCAGTGTCTTGTCTCACTGAGGGTCTGTGTTCCTCCATCTTCCCCAGATGTTTCTGGCTCCTCCCAGACAGCTTCTGAAACATTCCAGCCCACCTCTGGGAATCTGCTGGCTCCTCCACTCTCTCTCTCTCTCCGCTCCAGTCAAAACCTCTCCAGGAGCTGAGGACACCGGGCTGACACAAAATGAGAGTACTTGTTGTCTTGGTAACTTTGGCGTGCTTTGCCAGCGCTCAGCACCAAGCACTGATTGACTACTTGGAGCGGAGGCTGCAGACTATCGAGGTAAGAATCCCTTTACTTCCCTTTACCTCCTTGTACCTCCTTGTGCCTCCTTGCACCTCCCTGTCGAGCCCTGCGCTCCAGAGTCCCTCTGAGGGGAAACTTCCAGGGACAGGGCATTGGCAATGAAATGCAGATGTGGGCAAATCCTGAGGAAAAGGCTGGAAAATACAGCTCTGTGAGCTCCTTGTCTGTGTTTACAACTTAGAAGAGTCCATATTTGCATTGCATTTTTCCTAACGTCACATTATGGAAACGCTTTTTGGTTCCTAAAATGTGTAAAATGAAGTATCATGATGATGTTTTAAAACAGTGATTATTTGTTATCATACAAGAACACATGCCAGAATTTATGTTTTCACTGTTGAGACCTGTGGAGAAAATCTCATTTCCTTTTCCTGCTCCGCAGGTCAGAGGTCAGGGTCTGCTGAGGAGAGAGAGAGCTGGTATATGAGTCAGTGTTTTGCTAAAAAGGCCTTTGAGCAGGGAGGAAACTTGCCACGTGCGGTTGGAACCTGGTTGTTTGAAGGATGAGCTTCCTACTTATTATACCCTTCAATTTCAGTCTATTTATTTAGACTGGAAAAAACATAAAATGATGGCCTTGATGTATTTACAGTTCCTGTGAAATGACAATTGTGTATGGCTCACATTACTACTGACAACCAGGTTAGATAAAAACAAGTGAGACAGCTTGTATAATAAAAATAATAACAAATGATCTGTCACCTTGTGTGAAAACAGGACCGGATCTCTTTGTGGCATGAGCAGACCGCCCGCTACGCCTCGGAGCTGAGGGAGCTGAAGCAACAGATGGTGTCCCAGCTGGAGAGCCTGGATAAAGAGAAAGAGTTTCTGAGGGTGACTCTGGACGGTGTGGGGACGAGGGTGGACCGGGTGGAGCGGGAGCTGGACTACCTGGAGACACAGAACGGTGCTCAGCCGTGTGTGGACATCGACGACAAGCTGATAGAGCAGCAGGTGATGCTGGTGAAGGAGAAGCAGAAGGCTAAGTACTCAAAACTATCAGGTGAGATGAGATGTGAAGTGTGTTCTGTTCATCAGAACACACGTTGAGTTTTAATGGGGATGAACATGGAACAAGGGCTGCATTTACAATAACCTGAAATGGAGAAAAGTAAGCATATTCTCAAGTTTCTGAATATATAACAGTAATTATGATTACAGAAGAATATTAGGCCTAGGCGTGAGAGGAGACAAATGAAAGAAGACAACATTTTCTCCATTTTGTAATTCAAGAGTGAAGTCAAACTTTAAGTTAAGTTCCTGGGATAGGAATAAAGGCCTAAATGCTGCGACTTGGGATCTATTTTTGTGTCACAGAAACTGAAGACTAGAAATCACAGGGTATGGTTTTAAATGCTGGACTTTTCTTGGCAACTTCATGTTCCGCATGTTCTATTGGTGACTTTTTCAACTTTCAAGCCCTTTAGCTACTTTAGTGCTCATACCGGTAAGTTTATTGACCTAAACATTATTCCTTTAAAAGCAGTCATGAGATCTTTAACTGCTAATGCAATGTAAACCATGTCAGCATGCGTGCCAGTTGTCACTTGTCAAATAAAGCCTGCTGCCTTCTCCTTTTCAGACTGCAGTGACATGATCTCCAGCATAAAGGCCATGAAGATCTTGAAGCGAGTTGGAGGGCCAAAGGGCATGTGGACCAAAGACACAGGCAGGGGCTCTGGGAAGGTCTACATTTTTAACGGGACAGACGAAGACACCATCCACGAGTTTGCCTCCGTTCAGGACTTTGCTCGCTCGCAGGGCATGTCTCTGGCCAAGAACCTGAAGCTGCCGTCTACCTGGAAGGGAACAGGACACGTTGTCTTCAACAATTACGCGTACTATATAAACCAGGCAGAGGAGATGATGGTGGTTAAATATGACATGAAGAACAGCTCTGTGACGGACAGCGCTGTGTTTCCAGTGCAGGACCATCTCCCCGTGTACGGCCTGACCCCAGAGACAGTGATGGACCTGGCTGTGGACGAGGAAGGCCTGTGGGCCATTTACGCCACGCGGCAGAATGAGAGGTACATCTCTATGGCCAAAATGGATG